TACCGTCTCCATGTACCACACGACGAGAATTTTTATAGAACGGTACCATCAACCATTCGAACCCAACGGTCAACTGTTACGAATATTTTTAAGTTTGAAAATGCTATTTTTGAAGCTATAAAATCCTATTTTTGATATCAATCAATTATGATCAATATGAAAATGAATTCTAGTAATAAATATGATATTTTGATAAATTCAAGAACCCTATGTGATGTAAGACGATAAGATAGAGTGTTAACACTCGATACTAGGCCGTTAGTACTTGTTATTGGATATTATGATGATTATTATTCAATGTTGATTTTGATCAAAGCTTGATAAATATTCTAATTAAAATGATGATTATGAATGATTGAACAATGTTTAGAAATGAATGTAGTGATAATTATGAAAATAATATGTTGTGTTAAGGGTATCTAGAAAAAACTCTAAGATATACCCATATTGATATTAAATTTGAAGGCTATCTAGAAGAACTCTAAGATATACCCATATAACTAATTTAGATAATTAATGTTAATTATTAAGGATATCTAGAAAAACTCTAAGATATACCTATGTGACCAATTCAATAATCTGGGTTAAAACGTACTTACGGGATCCAAACCAAACTTGAGGATTACTCGTTTGGGGATATCACCCACCCGACAGTTCACTGTTCGGTTGGTACAGGATCCATAAGACTCGTAGAATGGATCATTGATTCTTTTATTCTGCCTTAAACTATTAGTAGTTTAAGAGCCCGATTAGAAATATTGTCTTAGACTAGTTATAGTTTAAGAGCTCAGTTATCAATATGAATTTGACCTTAGACTAAGAATAGTTTAAGAATATTCTTATGATTTGGGATTAGCTTAGAGTAAGTTAAGAGCAATTATTTGTGATAAAACTTGATACGAAATTATGATCATGAATATTGTGATAACAAAAATGACATGTGATTATTGTGAACTATGGACTGATTCTTATATAAGTTTGAATGATGAACTTTAAGAATTGACTATGTTCATTATCATTGTTAAATTAACAAAGACAGATTTAAATATGAAAAAACGAATATTTGAACATATATGTGTGATTGGTAATGTTTAAGAAATTATTTTGTGAATTCTTTGTTGTGCCATGGTACCACTCAGCTTCATTGTTGAGCGTGTAAACTTTTTCATCTTTCTACACGTTCGTAGGTATGAGAGAGAATAAATACAGAGCCTATTTTGGAGAATACTGAAATGGAGGTGATGCGTGGACGTGCACAAATATACTATTTTACTAAATGATTTTATCACATGGGTTGACCATACTGTTGTACTTTGCAAATTGCTTCCGCACTATTTTAAATAATTTTACTCCGATGTAATTATGAAATATTTTGCACAATTGTTTGAAATAAAATTTTTAAATGTTTGAAATTTTTAATATTTTTGTCCGAAAGAGGCTGCAGACCTGGATGGATTAGGGTGTTACAAGATGTTACTATTCAATCAAAGACTTCTTTTGGCCATCATATGGGAGGGTGGCTAGCTCCTATTTTATGTGAGAAATTAGTCATTCTTTGAAAGATAATAAGGGTGATTTTGGCCATGTGGTAGGAAAAGGAAGTGGATAACATTATTTGGCTAAACAAAAGACTTTAAAGGATATGATAAAAATAAGACACTAAAATTTTATTTGTATTCATTAGTCTCATTTTCGGCCAAAGCTTCAAAATGAAGGAGAAGACTTTTGGTTAATAAAGAAGAAATGAAAGAGTTTTGAATACTTTGATAGTGGTGGTTTTTGGTGGAGCTATCCAGGGATATAATATACTCCCCGAATTCAAAGAAAATTTGTCCTCAAACTTTTACATAACCATAGAGGATTGAGGGTGATTGAAGAATTCTGAGATCAAATCGAAAACTTAAAGAAATATTAACAATGAGGTTCTCTCCAGAAGTAGTTGGTACCCCATTGTGTAATTTTTAGAGTGATCTAATCTCGTTGAAAAGAATTCGCCTCACACATACTTCAATGATGAAATAAGATTCTCCTTCACCAAATATATGATAATACTATGGGAAAATAACTTAGAATATATAGCATTCGGTGTAGCTTCCTCTACAACAACCTCTTTAAAGAAGTCTTCAAAAATAAGGAGAGAATCATTTTAGTTTGATTCTTCTCGAGCCTTGGAAGATGATTCTTTTACAAAAACGTCATCTTCATCTTGACATGAAAATCAAAGACATCTATGTTCCTCTTTTCTTTGTCGTCTCGTTGGGACTCTTCCTCGTTCAAGAACTCTTGGATTTTTGTGTATGGTTATGGACATAGCCACAACTCATGTAGCAACTTAGAACATGCCCTTATAAGATGGCCTCATTTGCAAAGATAATCTCTAGATTTTTAGGCATCTTTGGAAGTTCATATCTCCTCACAAGAGATTGGAATGATGTGATTATAGATCTCCAAGCTAGATACTGAAGTCCTTTTATACATATCAAAATATTCAAAAGCGTTGGAAAAGCTTTGGTTACTCTTTCAAGAAAAAATCAGCAAGGTAGTCAGGATACAAGCAGAATTTTGCCATCAACTTTGAATGGGCGTATCTCACGAACCACTAGGGGTGTAAACGGATATTAATCGGATCGGATTTGCCATTACCAAATCTGTATCCGTTTATTTCTGTCGGATATCGAATTCGGATACGGATCTTGACGGATCCTGAAAATCAAAACCGTATCCGCATCCGTCGGATATCGGTCGGATATCGGATATATCCGTATCCGTTTCTAATTTTTATATTCAAATTAAACAATATTTTAATTTTAAATTAGATTAAATTCAAACTTCATTAAATCAACTATAATTTGATATGGGATAATTATTTTCTTTGTTTTCATGATTTATGATATTCTACGATAACTTCATATGATAAAAAGATATACACAACACACATATACACATATTTTTATATGTGTGTATATATTTTTATGTGTCTACACATTTATTTTGTATATAAAAATGTCTTATATTTTGAAATATCAATAGAGAAACAAATTATATAAACATAAAAAATTAAAAAGAACTATATATAACGAATCGGATATCTGGATAAACGATTATTTAAACGGATGCATATTCGGATCGGATTTTATACGGATCGGATATACAATTACCAAATCCGTATCCGTTTAGTAATCGGATATCCTTAATCGGATACGGATAATATCCGTTTAAAACGGATGCGGATATTTCCTCTTTAAACGAATACGGATGCGGACGGTAATCGGATTTTTGGCTATCCATTTACAGCCCTACGAACCACAAGTCGGAATTGAGCAAAACTCGCGCAAAATGAAGTCAACACCTTGCAATTTCAACTATGAAGATTTTACTTTGAAATATGATGTGTAATATCCTCCATGGTCAATTCTTTACACTGAAAATTTCAAGAAGAAATCTTCTGAAGCCTTGTCTTGCAACACTTGCATTTCTTGGTCCTCGGGGTAGTCGTTTGAGACTTAAGAAAGTCATCAAAACTAGGCTCTGATACCAAATGTTATAAGTGAACAATAGGTCTTATGAGGTTGGTAGCTTAATGGTAGATTTGTGGAGGAAGTGGATGAGAAGTGATATAGGGCGAAAAATGGAAGGTGTTGTAGGAGTTTTTTTCTTTGGTGTTTTTATGAAAGAAAAGAATAAGTTTAGGAGAGAAATGGAAGGCAAAAAAAATTGCTGAATGAAAATAGGAAGGGATAAACCAAATTGATGTTAAGAGATGTAAAAAACTCTTATCTTAACTTGGAATTAAATCTAGAATCTAAAATATAGAATTAAATAACTAGAACCTAAAGCTCACACTTAAGAATTAGATATTTGGCTAAAATAACCTCACACTATTTTAATGAATTACTCAAAGAGTAAAATAAGGAAATCTTCATTGATTAAAGTATGTTTACAAGGCCATGCATAGGACCAGAATATACATAGGCAATACTACAAGGGATGTTTCCTTACACTTTCCTACAAATCAAATGAAATAGTATCCTTGTATTATCCTCTCATTTGAGTTGAACTTCCAAGATACATCTCTTAATTTTGGGCTGATCTTCTTTGGTATTATTAGGGGAGAAATTTTGATCGTTTAGTGGTGAGAAACAAGGTAAAGACATTAGGTAAAGAATCATCGACTTTAGTGACAAAAATTGACGAATTGTACTATTCATTTAAGGACATTCTCCTTTGAATTTTCGGCCAACACATGTGGGAGATCATTTGGATTTGATTTTGTGTATAAAATGACTCACTTTTGGAAGATCACTAAGGGCAAATTTTGGCCATGTGACAGGAAATAAAGACAGAGACTTTGGTGTCACAAAATGACAAGCTATTACTATTCAATTAAAGACTTCTTTTGACCATGATGTGAGAGGGTTACTAGCTCTTGTTTTATGTGTGAAATAAGTCATTCTTTGGAAAATAACAAAGGTGATTTTGGCCATGTGGTAGGAAGAGGTAGTGTAAACATTATTTGGCTAAACAAAAGGCTTTTAAAGGATAAATATAAGACACTTAGGTTTTATTTTTCTTATTTGGTCTCATTTTCGACCAAGATTTTAAAATGGATAGGGAATAGTTTATTTTGGTTAATCAAGAAGAAATGAAAAGTTTTAGATTTTTTGAGAGTGGTGGTTTTTGGTGGAGCCGTCAGGGGATAAAATAATGTTGCCCAAAAAATATTTGAGGAAGAAAGTGGGGAAACAAAAAGAAAAAACACATGAATAAGAGTTTAGATAACCACAAGAAAAATATTCTAATTTTGTGTTAATTCTTATTTGAGGCTATGTGTGTGTGTGTGTATAGACACACACACATATTTAAAATTACTAAAACAGTTTTTCCTAAATTTTTTTATGTTTTTTATGAGATAACTTTTTATAAATTTTATAGGAAGGGTCCCGTTTTTTAATTTTGGCAATGTCCCATAAAATGTCAAGAAGGACACTGTTGACCTCTCTAATCTCTATAACTATTTTTTTTCTGCATGAAGAGAGTTTGATGACCAATCCAGAGAATTATCGTAACAACATCTCTCTTACTCTAGATCAATTCATATGTTAATGTTATTACTATTATTCCAGTGAACTAAAATCCATTATTATTATTATTAGGGATGCATGAGTAAAAAGTTTAGCCGAAGCGGGACTGTGCTGAGCGGTAGTGAGACCAATACTCTTTGACAAGCTGTCCATAGAGTGATCCCTCTGTCTTCATTAACTTCATTGGTTCATCATACTCCACAAGTTTCCCTATACATTTCAAAATCAGAACAGAATCACAAGACTGTTAAACGCAGAAAAACCAGCTACCATACACGTAGAGAGAGAGAGAGAGAGAGAAGGAATTCAAAAAGGTTATCTCACCATCACTAATGGCAAGAACCATTGTGCAATCCATAACGGTGGGTATCCTGTGAGCAACTGTGATGACCGTGCAATCAGCGAATTCTGTCCGGATTGTTTTCTGTAGAATCATGTCTGTGGCGTTGTCAATTGATGCAGTTGCTTCGTCAAGCACTAAAATCTTGCTTTTCTTCAACAGCGCACGCCCAAGGCAGAACAACTGTCTCTGTCCCATGCTCCAGTTTGATCCATCTTCCACCACTGAGACACAAGCTCTGTGCTGTTAGTTTGCTTTGAGCACAACAAGGCTTTTTCACAAGACAAGCAAAGAGACATACATACCCACAGAGTTGAGCCCTTTTCCTTTCTCCTCCACGGCCTCCTTAAGCTGGCACTTCTCAAGAACCTTTTTGGGGGGAAATGTTTCAGTTGACAAAAAAAAAAAAGAACAAAACCAAAATAAATGCATAAATGGTAGAAATGATAGCATATATATACCTCCCATATTTGCTGGTCAGTGTGCTGACAGAGTGGATCAAGATTGTATCTCACAGTTCCACTAAAAAGGGTAGGGTCTTGCGGAATGATCCCAAAGCGAGACCTCAAATCACAAAGTCCAATCTTAGAGATGTCAATTCCATCCACCACAATCCTACCACCTGCTGGCTCAACCAGACGGAAGAGTGCACCAATAAGGGTAGTTTTCCCACTTCCTGTCCTACCTACAATACCAATCTTATGTGCTCCTTCAAAAGTACAACTAATTCCTCGTAGAACCAGTGGACTACCTTCCCTGTACCGGATCTGTTTTCCCTATCAGTCATCAGTATGCTAATCTATGTAACCTCACACAGAGTAATTGCAGCAAAAATGTATGGAATTAATTACCTGCAAATCTTGAATCTCCACTCTCCCTCTTGTCGGCCAATTGACAGGAGGGCGATTCTTTTCAATGATCTCAGGAGCTTCGCTCGGTACATGCATGTACTGCTTTAGTCTTTCAACAGAAATGATATAATTTGCTATGGTGCACTGGTTCTGGATTGAATTAACGAGGGACATGTTTAGGGATAGACCATAAGATAATGCCATCCCAATCAAACCTGCAACATCATGGAAAACGTTTACTCAACAATAATGTGTGTGTTGTGTGTGACTATTAAAAAGGGTATGCATTATAGACATGTAGGCAGCAAACCTGAGCTGAAAGTCCCGAGTGGAAGCAAAACCATGCAAAGCGCAGATGAGGCAAGAACAGTCGCGCTGATTGTTTCTAGCCTTAGAATCAACCACTCATTTGCTGCAAAATTGTGGAAAAAGGGACTAGCATTTACATCAACTAGCTCGAGATTCTTCACAAAGAATCTATCCTCCTGTTCAAATGCTCTAATTGTCATTGACCCAGCAAGAGATTCAGCCAAGTGGTTTGCCACAAATGATTTGGTAGTCCCATTAATTCGCATAAGTTCTTTGGCAGAGGAAAAGTAGTATCTCTGTTGTCAGGGCAACCCATCAGTTCAACTAACACTGAAACTAGGCATATCATCGGGATTATTCAATAAGAATCCTAAATTATTACCTGTAACTGAATGGCAAGATAAATCATTGGTATGGATACAAACAGGACTTGCCATGTAACAAAGGCTAGCACAATAAGATTAGAATAAAAGTTCATGGTTGCTCCAAATGCAAAAATCAAGTTAAATGGAACATCGAGATCAACAACACTCAGATCAACCGACACCTACAATGATGACAAAAAGTGTTATAAACATATAAAACCTAAAGACTTCATGAGTTTACATCCCAGACATCATTATATGCATAAAAACATACCCGGCTGAGTATCCTTCCTAATGGTGTGGAGTCATAAAATGACATGGGTGCTCGAAAAAGAGAGGTTAAGAGTTGTGAGAACATAGAATGTGATGATTGCAAACCCAGAGTGACTGTTGATATAGATCTAGTGAGCAAGAATATCAGTGAAATGACGCCAATTAGCAAGTACACTGCAATAAGCTTTATAGTAGTAACTTTAGAATTTTCAACACTAGCAGCCATCCATGAGTTTTGTAATACTTGTCCGATCACAAATATAATGTGTGACAACACAGCCAAAGAAAAGAACAAGTAGCCCTTGTTCTGACTTAGATAGTGCAAATAAGGCTTTAGTCCAATGTCCCCTACTTCCCTCTCTTCTTTCTTAATAAGCTGATCCCCTGTGCAGTATTCAGCCTGGTTTTCAAGTGGGGTCGTTCCAATATCTCCAGTAGATATTTCATTCATTTGTAAAGAAGTAGCCTCTGCTAGCTTTTCCGAACCGGCAATCTGTTTATGTGCTGCAACCAATCCCTGAAATTCTTTGCTCATAGCCAATAACTGATGATAGGGGGCTCCTTGTAAAATTTGTCCATCCGACATCAGCTATTAATATATGTGCCAGTACAGAAAATAAATTGATAAGCTCTCTGTTTATTTAATTGAAAATTCACTAGTAAATCTAATTTCAGAAAGAGTTGCAAAGATAAACAAACCAGGACAATATCAAATGCGGGAAGAAAATCAACTTGGTGAGTGACAAGCAAGACAGTCTTGCGTGAGAGAGCTTCCATGACATAGTCCTGTTATAGGCTCAAATCAGCTTTCGTTTAGAGAAGAAAAACTAATAATCAGTATGCAGGGTCTTAAAGTAATAACATTGAATAGGCTTGCAGCAGTATGTGCATCAACAGCACTGAAAGGATCATCCAAAAGATAGATATCAGCATCTTGATATAAAGCACGAGCAAGTTGGATACGTTGCTTCTGGCCACCACTGAGATTAACTCCTCTTTCTCCTATTTCAGTCAGATCGCCATAAGGAAGTTGCTCCAGATCCTTTACCAGTGAGCATTTCTCCAAGGTTTCCTGGTATTTTCGGCTGTCGAATGCAGAACCAAATAGAATATTCTCTCTTATGGTTCCTGTCTGAATCCAAGCTGATTGGGAGACATAGGCAATTTTCCCATATACCTCAACCTGTTAAGATATGTAATGTTAAAAAAAATTGTCAAAATTGTAGAAAGCCAACAAAATGATATGTGCATGACCGCTATTGAAAATTTGACCCAATGATGCTTATCTTTACGATGCAGTGAACGGTATAGGAACTAGAACTTACAATTCCTTGGATGCTTGGGACTTCTCCTAGAATTGTTGCCAGAAGAGTAGTTTTTCCCGAGCCCACCTCCCCGCAAATAGCAATTTTATTGCCTGGCAAGACATCCAAAGTAATGTTTTGAAGTGTATGCTTTAAAGGATTCACTTCCCACGAAATATTGGCTGACCTGAAACATACTGCATAACTAGCTGTATTGTGAACATAATGCTTCCGCCTCACATTAGCATTCTCGAGCTCTGGAGCCTCAAGAAATTTGATGATTCTTTCAAAAGAAACTTTTGCTTGAATCACTACACCAATAACATCTGGAATCATTCTTACAGGATCTTGAACCAGGCGAAGAGTTGCTACAAAGGTAAAGACATTGCTTGCATGCAATGGGACTCCAAGAAAGTAGCAAGCTCCAAAAGTAGCCGTTGAGACTAAGACGGGTGAGGACCAAAAGAGAAAGCTATTATATGCTTTGCGCATTTGAACTGCTGATAACCACTTTTCTTCTACTTTCCTCAAACTCTCAATGACATTTTTGAAGTGACTTCCCCATGCATACACTTTCAAAACCTTCATATTCACAAGAGCTTCTGACATAGCCATAAGCCTCTCATCTTGGGCATCCATCAGCTTTGATTGGAATTTATGTTGCAATTTTGCAAGCGGAGCATTACAGAGAACTGTTAGTATAATTACCATCAAGGATGCAAAAGTTGCAATCCCAACAGCCTGAAAGAGAATTGCAAGTGCGAAGCAGAGCTGAAGACTTGTAGTCCATATTTGATGTAACCAAAATGGGAATTCACCAATTCGATAAGCATCCACAGTGACATAGTTCATAATCTCACCAGCAGAATGGGTTAGCTTTGAAGCATTGGATAATCTCATTTGCTTCTTATATATGGCTGCTGTGAGCAATGACCTGACTTTTAAACCAATTAGTCTGCTTCTGAAGTACCACTGTCTCTGTGACAAAGATTCGAGGCACTTTGAAATGAAAAGCAGTAATGCCAACACATATCCTTCATATTTAAAACTAGTGTTCCCTTCAGCGACCTCAATGAAGGAATTGAGAATCATTGGACCAGCAGAAACAGTAATGACCTTCAGAAGTGCAAAAAATCCGGACACAAAGAGCTCCTTCTGGTGGCACAAGACTATTGTCCTCAGGATCGAAGGTTGGCCCAAAGGGTCCAGCATTTTCTGTTTATTCAGTACTTCCATAAACATCAAGTAACATGATTCTGCCCTATCCGGCTTACGCAATTTGGGTATGTCTCTATCCTCAATAGTTTTTTCCCTGCCCAGTTTCATCAATGGATTCAACCACCAAAATGTGATTGTACTCAATGTCCCAGCTCCAGCAAACTTACTCACAGATCCTACATGATCAACTTTGTTTCTGCCAGTGCCAGTACCATTTAACAGAGCATAAAGATCACTATCTTCAAATCTAGAGCTCTTGTATGTCTGTAGTAACAATATACTTGCTCCTATGATAGACAGTACATCTAAAGCCATCTTAAATGGTGCTTCTTTATAAACAATAACAATCACAAGAGAGAAACAAAAAGCAATTCCAGTGAAGACAAAAGCAAAAATGGTCAAGAGCTTAACTAAGGCATCCGAAAAATATTTTCCACGGAGGGTCACAGTTAAACTAAATAATAACCATGTCGTTCCATGAAACAAGAATTTTAACCACCAATGTATAGGTAACATGCTTTTCGTTTTCCTCACTTCCTCTTGTAAAGTCCAAATTCCCAGTGACAAATATATCAAGCCTACTAAGCCATTAAAGGTGGACGATATCAACTGCAACCAACTAATACCATGCGTACTCATACGTTTTGATGTGGACTTGGACAGTGAGGCGAATAGAAGCATGAGCAAAATAATAACATCAAAACTTATGACCAACACACTATTGATACAGGAGGAAGAGTGGGTAACAAAGACCAAATCAGCAACACATGGGTTTCCATTCTGATGGATGCAATCTGGCGTGCCGCAGAACAACGACCAAAGCTTCTCCATCACTTGTTTAACTCTCACTGCATATCCAGTTTATAGCAATCAAAGTGTTCATGTCAGGAAAATTTTTTAAAGTTTCTGATATATCAGCTAAAGAACTTGCCTCACAGAAACATAAATACGGAACACATCTTTGTATAGAATGCAATCCCATCCATTAAAAAACCAAAGAGCAAAATAGAGAAAGAAAAATTGTCTGCTGTTTAATTTGGGACAACGAAGTATGTACTAGTAAATAATGGCATATTAAATCAAGATTTATTTAGGATTGAAGTGAGAACATGAGAATTGAAAAGCAGTGTAAACAGAGAAGATGGTCAGCGAGATCCAAACAGGAAACTGCAGTTGATGAATATTATAAACACCAACAACAACCTAGCTGGTTTCCACGAGAGTAGGGTTTGGGAAGGGTGTGTGTATGCAAACCTTACCCCTACTTGAAAGTAGAGAGGCTGTTTCCAAAAGACCCCCGGCTCAGGTAACACGGAATGACGCATAACACAAGAACACAGAATACACATTAAGCAGTGAAAAAACTAAATAACTGAGGGAAGGCACAACAAATATAAAGCACCAAGCATATGAAACACACAGCTACAAGTGCAAAGCTACCTTCAAGCCCTAAATGCTTACCTAACTACCCTAATCCTAGCTCTCCAACGTTCCTATCTAAGGTCGTGGTAGCGGTTTGTGTGAGTTTGCATGATTTTTTTAATGTGAAAAGCCTAGTATCCAAAAAATTTGAAAGAGTATTTTTTTGCAAGGCAAAAAGTTGTTCTAGAAAACTACTCCCTTCCTTCAGAATTAAGTTTTTTAAAAGAGTCAGTGCTAGGGAGACACCAAAGTGGTGACACCACTTTAATCCCATGTTTCATACACACACACAGGTCGTGTGCACACATACCATTATTGTTTGTGTGTCTGTGTGATACATGGGGTCAAAGTGGTGTCACTACTTTGGTGTCCCCCTAGCTTTTTTGTTTCAACAATTGAATGGGTGTGTGGGCACATTTATTAGTAGAAGTAAAAATGTTTGGTGGTTGAGTTTGTGGAGAGAAAAAATATGTGAACCTTGAAAAAAAGAACTTTTTTATTACACAAAGACAATAGTATTCTCTACGTTCGAATTTAGTTGTACACTCTCTAAAAAAATATAATTTTAAGAAATGAGTGCAAATTGTAAAAAAAAAAAGTTTCTCTAATGATTTTGTCGTCCACTCATAATGCACATAACCTAATGTCAAAATTAACATAATATCTTTGGAGAACAAAACAAAAAACAACCGAGAATTGAATCCCACAAAAGTAGGGTTACGCAGACCTAACCCCTACTCGAAAGTAGTGAAGTTGTTTCCAATAAAGTGACAACTAATTCAAGACAAACAAAAACAAGAAAGTGAACATGTGAAGATGTGAATCCAGACACGGGAGCAGTCTTTACCAAACATTTATAATACGGAGTAGCTAATAGCTCTTTAACTAACCACTTATCTTAAAATTACTCTGCCATTACAAGAAAAAAAGTCCTAATATTTTGCAAAAAATAAAAAATAAAATAAAAGACACTCATCCTGGTTTCAGACCCAAACAATAGTTGCCGCCAAGAAAGGAAAGAAATCACATTATTACTTTAGTAGTATTAAATGCTCTAAAGAAAACCTGGCGAAAGTATGAAAATTCATTGGCCAAATGCCATCAAACTAACCAATCTGAGTATCTGAGAGTATGGGTGCTGCAGCAGCATACAGTATCCTATGGCCGTGGGATGTTTTTGAATGATGAACGTATTAAAGATACATAGACGAGTTAGCGCAGAATTTGCTCTTATTTCGCGTCATTGCTGACGGCCCATCAGTCTGGGGAGGGGGCGAGGAGCCGAGAACAAATCATTGGTGTCGTCTCTCCCCGGAGACGTATCCAGATGGAATACTTTAGGCCAGTTTGGTGAGAGACGCGATATGTGTTTCCATGTCTCCATAAGAAGTGCTAGAAAAAAAGATGAGAATATTTAAAAAATGGTACTCAATAATTGTATGTTTTTTTTAAATTAGTCATTAAAAATAATTAATTCCAAATATGGTATTTCTTAATTGAAAATAATGCTTAATTCAGTCTTCCAACTAACGATCGTCAAATGACAAAACGATATTAAACGTTATACTATTTTTCCAAAATGATACTCTGACTGTGTATTTTCTCAAATTGCCACATTTTCAAAATAAATACGGAGTATACATTAATTATTGAAAAATACTTCAAATTCTATAGGATGACAATATAATACTTAAAACTATAAATACAATTTTATAAATTTAAAAGTAAAAATTTTCGATTATTTATAATTATCTAGAAAAATAGCATGTAAATAAAATGTTTAATAATAGGTAAAGAAAATCACCCTAAATAAGAGTATAATATATTACTCCTATTTAGGGTGATTTATTCAACATATATTAAATATTTTGTTTACACGATATTCTTTTAAATAATTGTAAATAATGTAAAATGTTACTTTCAGATTTATAAAATTATAGTTGTAGTTTTTAGAATTATATTATCATCCTATAAAATTTAAAATAATTTTCATAATTAATGTATTTTTATTTCGAAAATTGAGAAAACACCCAATTATAAAGTACCATTTTGGAAAAATAGTATAAGATTTAACGTCTTTTAACGCCGCTTTAACGACTGCTGGTCGGGGGATTGAGCTGGGATTGAGCTGAGCGTTATTCTCAATTACCGAGTACTATTTCGGGAATTATTTAGTTTTGAATAGACCTGGAAAATTTTGACCCGACCCGTTATTAATCTGAAACCCGACCCGAAATTAGCGGGTTTTGAACATTGATTTTGCGACCCGAACCCGAAGACCCGTTAAATTTTCGGGTCAGAACGGGTCGGGTCGGGTTTGACCTGACGGGTTATGCACTTAATTGCTTATTTTTATTGCTCCCTCTCTCTCTTTATATATATATATATATATATATATATATATTTTGGTTCTGGTGAGAATGCGATCTTAGGAGAGAAATGAGAATGAATCTGGCGCTTTAGATTGTGAGATCTAAGGGTTGGGATTGCATCAAAATTAGATGCACCAAAATGGTTTAAAAATGCATCACGTCAAAATGCGTCAAAATCCTTCGAAAATGCACTGTCTGAAAATCTGAGCGCAGGATGCAATCTGAGCCGCACGATGCATCAGATCCAACGGCTAGATTTTATTCTCATTTCTCTCCACAAGGTGCATTCTCACAGGAACCGGCCCCTATATATATATATATATATATATACATATATATATATATACATACATATATATATATATATACATACATATATATATATATATATCTATATATATATATATCGTTCCTTCACCGTTCGTCGATATTAGATACCGACTCAATCAAAATGGTGACAAGACATAAGATCGATAGTGAAATTTTTAATCATGTTTCATCGTCTTCAATTGCTCCTACGTGTAACTCAAGTTTTAATTCTTTTCTTTTGTTTTGGTATGGCGCAAAAATCTCAATTTTTTATAATGCATATATATTTTTGGGAATGTTGAAAGAATCTTCAATTTTTTTTCATCTAATGCAATTTTTTTGGTATGCTACAAAAAGGTGGTTTTTTTTGGGTATATTGCAATTCTCTTTTTGTATGTTGCAAATAGAATTGCAAACTTGTATGGTTTTGTTCTTTGTTTTGAATAATGCTCGGATCACATGATCTCTAAATAGCAAAAATTTTAATTTTTAAATACGTCTCTTAACCCGTTGGATCAATCCGAACCCGACAACTCTGGGTCATGAACAAAAACTCTTAGACTCGAACCCGAAGTGACCCGAACCAGATTATAGCGAACCCAAACCCGACCTGATCGACCGTTTTGCCATGTCTAGTTTTGAAGTCTAATTTGGGAAAAACATATAGTTATTGAGTATCATTCTGAGAATTTACTTTAAAAATAAATTTGAATTCTACACATATATGTTGAATGAATTTGAGAGATGTCAATATAGGAATTTGATATGACTACCCTTGCCTACCATTGTCACAGCCAATCACCCTTATTGGTGTTCACGTCTGCTAATCATTAATTAAATTATGATTTTAAATTTCTTCAAAAAATCTCATTTTAGGTTTCAAAACTTATATTATTTCTCTCTTATATCTAAGTCTATATCATTTCATATTTTGTGTGAACACATACTCTTAGGGCCTGAGTGGTTGGATGGGAGGAAAGGAACAGTGCAAAGCTTACCAATGATCACTGCAGAGCTCGCCATGTTTTTTAATACTTTAAATTTTTTAAAATTTGAAGTTTCAATACTCATCTAATCTAGTTACGAAGCTCACCATTCCCCATCACAAAGCTCACCAAACATATAAACAAAGCTCACCACAATTTTATACCAAAACTCACCATTTCTTTAAAATATAAAATATTAAAATAGGACCACCAGTGTAACGCCCCAAAGCATACTCTAAAATTTATTATTGAATTATTACTCAATTAAATAAACTTGTTTTAATTAAAATAAATTATTGTTGGGCTTTAGACCGAAATGAAATATGTTTTGATATTTAATATGACAATCTGGATAAATCTCATAGAGATAAATCTAATATGTTGACTATTTGTCTAGTCTTGATTGGGAACCAGAGTATAGACCCAAATAAGAATAAATAAAGAAATTGAATAATAAATTTCATTATTATTGATATTATAATAATGTGACACTGTATATAAAAGTTTTGATTGTAATTTTTGGTATTATATGTTAGCATTTTTTTTTTTGTTAAGATAAAAACATGAATGTTTTATTTTAGTTATTTTCCTATATTTTTCTCATATATTAATCTTTCACCATTTCCGTTAAGAATCATTGGAACATTATTAATTTTGTATTAATTTTTTTTAAAATTATTGCGGGGGGAGAAGAGTAATTGAATTTTAATTTTTTTCAAACTAATATTTTTAATCATAGAGTCATAGGATCGCTAATCTAAAATTTTATTTTTTAATAAAACAAGAAAGAAGAATCAATTTTTGTAATCAATGCTAGGAGGTCGTTTTTTGGCTAATCTTAGTTAATGTGGGTGATAAAAATCATCCTTTTTTAATCATAGAATTGTAAGATCAATTATTCAGTTTTTTTTGAATTAATGTGAGGGAAAAGAATAAGGATCACTAATGTTTTTTCTATTAATTTATCCAAATTCTGTAAACCTACATCATTTATATTTGTTATTTAAATTATATGCCCCATGAAAAAGGCAAGTCATTTTTAATAACCCATATTACAAAATCGGATGGCAATCCAAATGGAAAACGACGCCCCTTTATAGGAACACAGTCGTGCACCAAAGGTTGAACTCCTACCTTGACGTTATCCAAAGCTGAAATAATATCTTCATTCCCACACTGATGCAGTGTTCCGATTTTACATGAACTATTTACATGAATTCCTACCTTGACGTTATCCATACCTGAAATGATATGATTATATTATTTTATGGAATGACTAACGAAAATAAAAAAAAAAGAATAAAGTTTGACTCTGTAAATAATAAAAATTAATTTAATTTGAGACGGAGCGAGTACACGCTAGGGATCCTTTGGCTTTTACAATACGTGTTCTTCTTGTTGAGGAGATTATCTCATCCATTATTTCTTGATTCTTGCAACGAGTTTAATGTTTAGATCTTTTAATTGCTAGAAGCTACGTACATTAGGATAGATCAAGGCATAATGTACTAAAATTGACCTCCACAAGCATAGAGTCACGATCACACAAAAAAAAACGCTACAAAGTCAGAGTGTACATATATTTATTTACATCTCAGTCTGTGCAGAGGCAGTTTTAGAAAGCTAAGACTAAACAACAGCTTTACGTTTTCAGTCTTATCCCCTTGCAGACAACACATCTAACTGCTTTACATGCCTAGATGAAGAATCCGGCGGTCTAGACACTTTGGTAAGAGTTTGGGTGTAGAGGACATCTTCTTGCCTTGGTGGATAGACCAAAGAATGATGTTCCTTGAAACCAGCTTGCTGCATTCGCATTAATGCTAGCACACTAAATGCAACCAGAGCAGCATTTCCTAGAATCCCACCCGCAAGATCGAGCCTAAGGGACTTCTTTACAAAATCGAAACTAGAAAAGAGAACATTGAGAAGAATATTTGAGCACTTCCCTTTGGTTTCTAAGGAATTCTCACCAGGGGACCTGGGTGCAGAACCAAAAAGGCTCTCAGTGGAAACAAAATGTCTCTCCTCATGAACATCTCCAACCAATTCTTGAGCTTCTTCAATGAACTTGTACCTTTTGCCTCTATGATCGGCCAATCTCATTGCAAGTATAACACGGCTCTGCTCCAAGCGAGCAAGTGCAACATCTCTTTCCACTCGTTGCTGTGCTTGCATGTTCTGCAAAATGGGATACTCACATGGTCCATAAAGTTTGCAAGAATAACAAAACCATAATTAAATGAAATATTTAGTTAATTTTCACTATTAACTTTTTTTATTGGAACATAATATTTGAACTATAACATAACTCAACCGCTTATCAAACACAACAGCAACAAGTTCTATAAGCCTGGGAGAGAAAGACAGGTTTTCATGTTACAGCATTGCAAAAGAAAATCCTAAGAAATATCATGAGTTCCCCAATCTTAATTGTTCCACCATGGGTGAAAGTTGAGCACTGAACTCCATAATTAAGTTCAGAATATCATCTTCATATAAACCAATCTCTCAATTATAAAAATTAAAACAATGCGGCAACATCATCATGCAATTTTTTACCTTTCCTGGTTGTATTCACAGAGTACTTAATGCCTTCATATATCTATATGGTCCACTGAACTGGTAATTAAGAAGCGGGGTTTCAAATATCATGCATGAAATTCTTGTTAATTGTCACTCACTC